CCCACGTGACCCAAGGCCCCCAGCCACCAACCCCGCAGCCTGGCGGCCCTGCAGCCCTTACTTACCCAGCTGGGCCTGGCTCCCGTCGGCCATCTGCACCAGGGCGTTCTCCTTCTTGTTGAACAGGATCTTCACCCGCTGCACATCGCCGTACACGCCTTCGAGGGCACAGGGACAGACTGCTGAGCCGCCCGGGCCCCGCGGCCACCTCCCCGCCGGCCCCGCGCCCCGCACTCCCGCACAGGGCTGGCTCTCCCCGCAGCTCTGCTTATTCTGCCTGAAAAGCTGTCTAGTCACAGGGAGCGTTACCGGGAGGGCTGCCTTCAGCAAAGAAGCCCTGAAATCCAGGAAAGGCCAATTGCCAAGAACCATCCTGCGGCTGCTACCGACACATCTACTCTGCCAATAGCATGCGGGGCCGTAAACCATGCTCTGGAGTCCAAATCAGTACGCAAAGCGCAGCCCAGACAGCACGCTTGGACATCCCAGAGCGTGACAACCACCTCAATTACACGAAAACAAGATAATAAAAGTGGGAACGATAACATACCGAAAAGAATAAAGAGGCTTTGGGGTGTGACTCTCTTTAGAGGACAGCAGAGCAAGGCAGCGAGGGACAGGGAAAGGGAGAGGTCAGGGGGCGAGTTGGAATCGTCCACCACGAGGAGGCAGCCCCGCAGGCGTGCAGGTTGATGGATGATGAAGTTGTCAGGATGTTAATATTCAAGGGCAGGTTGGTTTCCGGAGAGCAGGGTTTGAGGGGGAATTTTGTTTTTATTTATTTATGGTTTTGTTTTGTTTCAAGCAACAACAGGAAGCAGAAGTACCGTGCAGTCAGTTGGCAAAGAAATTCCGGATCAGGGCAAGAAAAAAAATTGGGAAAGGGGAAGGGGAGAAAAGAAAAAAAGTAGCAAAAACACAGGTCAGTAAATACATAAGAAAACACGCGGTGTCCCATCAGTCAAGACCACACACACTACGAGCCACACGCCGGGCGGACAGCAGGAGCGCCCCCCCGCGGGGAGGAGACAGCGCCCGCCCCCACCACCACCACCTCACTCCCCCAACCAGGCCCTCCAGGAACTGTCTCCCCGGGGCCCGCACCAGGGCCTCCAGTCAGGCTCACTGGGGTGGCTGTTAGCGGAGAGATTGGCTAGAGGAGCTGGGACAGGGCTCGAGAGGCCGCGAGTCACACGTGCTCAGACAGGCAAGAGAGCAGCTCGTTAAAATAAACAGGAACCCCGTCTCTCAAGAATCAAAATATCTCGAGCCTTTATCATTTCATCCCAGCTCCCTGAGCTGAACTTGGCCACCGAGACAAGCACAGGCCCGGGTGCCACCTCAGGGACCGTGGCTGGTGGCCTCGGCTTGCACCCCCTCCCCAGAGGCGCCCCGCAGGCCCCTGCAGACCGAGGTTGGTTGGGCTCGAAATTGCAAAACTGCTCTCGTGGACACCAAATACTTCAACTCTCAGCATCATGGAATTAGGAACGTACATTGAGATGTTAAGGAAAACAGGAGGACTCCAAGCGCTGCGGAAAGGACGCAGCAGTGAGTGACATCAGTGCAGAGAACAGCGTGACACCTGCAGGCACTGGCTGGGCCAGGGGCCCGGGATCCAGGGGCCCCAGTGCCTGGGGGAGGGGCTCAGTCTGCACTAGGACCTGAGAGCAAACTCCCGACTCCTACTTCCGGAAGTAGGAGTCTGGAAGGACCGCCTAGAAGAGCCACATACCTCAGGGTTGAGGTTGCTGACCAGCAGGACAGCATTTCCTGCCCCTGCCAGCCCCGGGATGGCGATCCGGCCTGCCGCCGCTGCCGCCGCTGCCGCCGACGGGATGGCCAGAGGAGCCAGGGCCCCGTGCACGTTAGGGACGGAGAGGCCTGGAGGAAAGAGGCGGTCAGATAAGCAGCGGCGCCCACCTTGTCCAAGACAGAAACGTGGGTCCTGCCCATCCTCATGCAAACGGAGACACGTTGGGGGTGGGGTGGGGGGGAGCGGCTGGCCCAGTGGCACGCCTGCAGCTCCTCCACGCTTCTCGTGGCACAGACCGTGCTGGCTTGACCGTCTACATGCGCCAAATACCACAGAAAGCTCCAGCTCCTCGGATGCAGGATCGAGCCCAGCGGCCTCAGCCGTGCTCGCATGCAGGTGCCCGTCACCATGCAAATGGCACGCCGGGCGGGACAACAGGCTTAGGACTGTCACGTAGGTGGGCACCTGGCCCCCAGGAGGGATGCTCAGGTGTGCCCGCCCAGCTCACACCGCTCCGCTTACCAGGCCACTTAAACGCACCTACTAGGGGCATATCCCTCCAACCACTGTGCGCTGGTCCTCACCGGGCGCTTGAAGGGAACCAGACCAGAGACTGTGGGGTTAGCGGGCTCTCTGCACGGCCCTGCCCTACGACTGCCCTGTCCAGGGTCCGTGGGGAACCTGGAGGCCTGCGCCCAGGAAAGTGGGCTCCCCCCGTGACTGCGCCACGTCGGCTGCCGTGGAAGCAGAGCTACGGGAGAGGTGTGGGCATGCAGAGTCGGTGGTGGGGACGAGCGTTTGAATACCTGCAGCTTGAGGAATTGCAAAGGTGGGAGGGAAACCAGCTCCTGCATACGGAGAGGCTGACATTATACCAGGCGCACCTAGAAACAAATGAGACACTCATCATCGCACCCACGGGTGCGAGCCGGCTGCCAGTGCCCCACCCGGCGGATTCTGGGCTGGTGCTGTGTGGGCATCCAGGAGACGGGTGCTGACCTCCCCGGGTGCAGAGCCGGGCGCCTAGGACCGAGCTACGCGTCCTGCCCCCCGCCCCGCCCCGCCCCACCGCCATCCCACCACCGGGCATCTTACCGAAGGCTGCGGCCATGGTCTGGTCTAGCGAGGGCTGGCTGTCGCCGGATGGCAGATCGGGGCGCGTGTAGTCACGGCTCTTGTCGTTGTTGTACTTGACGTTGAGGCTGGTGAGCTTGGAGAAGTCGATGCGCAGGGTGCAGCAGGCGTTGTAGATGTTCTGGCCGTCCAGCGACTGCGGGGGCAGCAAAAGGGCTGTGAGCGGGGGCCGGCAGCCGGTGGCGCGGCTGCCCGGGGGCCACTCACCAGCTTAGCGTGCTGGGCGCTCGCGGGCTCGGCGAACTGCAGCAGCGCCTGGAACTGACTGTTCTTAGTGAAAGTGATGATCTTCAGGACGGTGCCGAACTTGGAGAAGATCTACGGCAAGAGCGCGGCTGAGGGCCTGGCCCCAGCCCCCACCGGCCCCTCCTGCAGGCCGCGCCGCCGCCCCCCCCCGCCTTACCTGGTGAAGCACGTCCAGGGTCACCGGGTAGAAGAGGTTCTCCACGATGATCCTGAGCACCGGGCTCTGGCCAGCCATTGCCATCCCCGCGTCCACCGCCGCGGCCGACGCAGCCAGGGCCAGGTTTCCCGACTGGACTGAGTTCACCGCCTGCAGGGCTGCCTGGGCCCGCTGTGGGGGCAGAGCCGTGAGTCCCACCAGCCCCAAGGCCACCGCCCGCCCCGCCCCGCCCGCACCCCAGGGCGCGCACTGCCTGGTTGGGCGAGCTGTCCGTCTTGAGCTCCTTGTGGTTGGAGAACTGGATGTAGATGGGCTGGCCGCGCAGTACGGGCGTCACCGACGTATAGTAGTTCACCATGGTGTTGGCGGCCTCCTCCGTGTTCATCTCGATGAAGGCCTGGGGGCAGGGGTTGTGTGTGAGCCAGGCCTGGACCCGGGAGGCCCGGCGACCACCCCAGAGAAGGCCTAGGCCTTGTACCTGGTTCTTCCCTTTCAACATCAGGAGATTGGTGACCTTCCCGAAGGGCAGCCCCAAGGAGATGACCTCCCCCTCAGTGACGTCACTGGGCAGCTTTCGGATGTGGATCACCCTGGACGGCACGCCTGTGCTCCTGTTGTCCCCCTTGAACTTCTTGCTGTCGTTTCCATTTGCTGCAAAAGGACGGTGTGCGTGGCACGAGGCACTTCCCGGCTCCCCTAGAGCAAGGGACCCCTCTCCTGGTACTGGCTTCCTCCCAGCTCTGGGAGGCTGCTGCGACGGGGAGGGTCTCCACACCTGGCTCCCGGGGAAGTGAGGCTCAAGGTCACCAAGGCCATGACCAACCAACCCCAAGTGCGCTCCTCAGAGCCACAGAGGAAGTGCTCCCAGGTAGGGCCGCAGTTAGGGTTACCTGTGGAGGCCGAGTTACTGCTCATGATAAAGGGTCCGTTAGTGACACAGGCAGAGAAGAGCTCGTCAGATCCCCGCTGGAAGAGAGGGGCGGGTTGGAATTGAGCTGCGTCTTCACTGCAGCGCCCCCCAACCCTCCCTACAGGGGCCCAGTGGTTCTGCACCCAAGACACAGCTCCCTTCCCCACCTGCGGAGCCCCTGGGGGGTCTTTCCCCAAGCAGGGCCAGCGTCTCGTCCCCTACAAGGGCTCTGCGCGGCCCATCCCCCCACCCCCACCCCCGTGCCTGGGGTCCGCACGGGCTCAGGCTGACTACCCCGAGGCTCAGCCGTCGTGCTCTCAATCACAGCAGAGCCACTCAAGGCCCACGAGGACAAAGCCCCCTTGTCACACACACTGCAGCCACCCGCTCAGCCACAGGAGTCTGTCCTACTTTCCAGTCTGAGGAAACCGGAGCCCGATGACCAGAAAGGCCACGTCTCCAGGCGGCGGGCACCTTGGTGACAAACAAGAAGCTCCCAAAGTGCCCACAGCCCATTCTCTCTCCAGAAACGGCTAGTTGACTCGTTAATCTCAATCTAACTGAATCAACTCCCAGAACCAGGTAAGATCGAGCCCCGGGTGAGGAAGCAGACGGGGGGCCTTCCTGCCGGGCGAGCACAAAACCCCACCCGAGGGGCAAGGAGACCCCACTGGGTCTGGCTCCCCTCTAACAAGTTCCGGACACGAAACCGGTGGCCTGAGAACAACTTCCCTGCCCTAGGTGCCCCGCGGCCTCACGGCAGGAACAACAAAAACCAGCCTTTCTCAGGGCCAGACCCTCCAACTGCCATTTTCGCCAGTTCGTCCCTCCTCAGGCACACCTTATCTCTGCCCTTCCCTCAGGCCAGCTTAACTGCCACTTACAAACAAGGATGCCAAACACCCAGGGGCCTTCCCACCTTCCCGTGGTCTAGCACTGAAGTTGAGTGGGACACTCACACCCCACCCTGCCCCTCGAGACAAGCCGAAGGAAGCCAAGGAGGTTCAAGGTCTGCCCCTCAGGACAGGAATCGGGCACATGCCAACACTGCTGGGAGCAAACAGGATGCTCTGGGCCACCCTGGCTGCTAGGCCACCTGCTACGGGCATGACCCTGAACCCAGACCCCATGCCGGGCAGGCATCTGCAGGGGCCTCCCCACCCCCTGGCTCCCCAGGGCTCAGGGCTGAGATGGATGTGCAGAGGGCCAGCACCTGAGCCCGTGGTAGAGAAGCTGCAAAGGCTCAGACCCCTGCCTGATCTTAGAGTCCAGAAAAGGACCCAGAACCGCAGACCACTTACAGGCTGGAATTTATTATAACGAAGCAAAATGTTAAAAACCCCAAGCACTCCAGGCTGGAATTTGTTATAACGAAGCAAAATGTTAAAAACCCCAAGCACTCCAGGCTGACGTGACCCGTCACGCCCCAGCTCACTTTCACCAAGTGGACCTGGGCGCTTCAAGGCTCAGAGCAGTAGACCAGACCCAGCCGTGAACGAAGGGGCACATGAGAACCCAGGCAGAATGCCCCTGAGCCACCGAAGACAGAGTCTCCCCTGCCTAAGTGGCAGGAATGTGGACTTGGAGCCCTGACCCACCCCCCCGACACACAAAGGGCCCCCGTCCAGAGCTGGACAGGGACAGGGCACCCAGGCAGCTCCCACATACCGGCTGCACAACTTTAAAAAGAGCATCTCGGCTCCTGTCTCTGACAGGTGACAAGCAGGGCCGGGATTCCCTCAGGAGTGGGGCGTTCTTGGCCCCAACCATGTTCTCACAGCAGACGGCCTGGGACGCCTACATCTGCAGGGTCTGTGGGGCAAGCCCCACCCACTTGGCCGCCCACCCACCCCCAGGCCTCCCTCCCAGACACCGCCCCCTCCCCC